CTTGTATACGAACGTTGAGTGATGGAAAGTGGGTATTTTAAAGATTAATTTATCTATGTTACACATTTCTTACAATTTATCATCAATGTTATACTAAATTTGCGAATTTCTGCACTTTGAAAATTTACTCGTTTTTAACTTTAGCTGTAATTGTTTTTTTTTATTACTGATTTTGTGACAAACAACAATCGGAAATCTAATGATAAATTGAGAATCAAGAATTAATATTAGTGTATCAGAAATTATATTTGGAAAAGGTATTGCTTGCGGAGAAAGAAATGGAAATTTAAACCTTTGTTTGTGCGAACTGTGTGACATAGACAGAAAGTGCATCTCGAATTCTCGAGGCATTCCGTACAAAATTCCGTTCCACAGGATACGCGTTCGCGTATCGAATTGCTTTTCCGCGAGTAATCGTCCCGCGGTGCAAAATTAATAGGTGTCTCGCATATATATCACTAATCCTGCCATCGATCTTCCGGGTCTCCGCGAAAAAGTCACTGGCGATAAACGTAAGTAGCCTCATTTGGACGATCGGATAAACGCCGGCTGTATCGCGCGTAGTGGAAGTTTTACGCGGTCAAACGAGTCGCGCTACTCGGCAGGAAAGCCTTCAGCGTTGCGGGCCGGGTGTTTCTACGAAACGATCTCCGGGACTTCGAGATGCGTCTCGTGCATGCTGCGATCGCGCCGCTCCGGTGTTTATGGATCTCTTCCGTACCATCGATCTTCCGCGTTCTACAACGCAGCAAATGTAACGAGCATTGTTCTAAGAGCAACAAGGATACATGGCCGGCATGCCGGGAATAGTGAAACACGCCCAACGTGATCCTGCCACGAGTTATCGTTCCGGCATTAATCCTTTCAAGTCTTGCGCGATGACGATCAGCAGTGTACCAGTTAGATGAAAACTGTAGGAAGCAAATATGCTACAAGAAGATGATTTTTCTGAAAAGCTGAAAATTTCTGGCTGAAGGAAATTATCATTTTTTCGCAGTTCAAGCTCAACTAAAAAAAAAATAAATAAAAAAACTTAATTTTCAGTAAACTTTTCGCAAATTACAGTTTCTTTAATCGAATTTAGTGTATTGATTACACAAGATCTCGATACGGTTACCGGAAACCATTACGCAAAAGAAGGCAACGAGGCTGCTGCGGTGTATCGGCGATAATTATCGGATTCAGGGGTAAAGTTCGTGGACAAACTTCGGCCCGTCGATTCTTCCGGGAAAGCGGTAAACGCCCCGAGTCGTCGTCGCCGAGTAATCGATATCGTTCGACGACCGAGTGAAACGAGTTTCGGCGCGAACCCGGAGGGGAGTCGTGTCGAACTCCCCGTTTCCTCGTCGCGGATGGCCGTGTAACCCTATAGGAAACCTTCCGCGCGAGTTTCACTTTGCAGTGCACTGTTACCGGACCGCTCGTCCCGTCACGGATACGGACATGTGATGCGGTAAACGACCGCCTGCAATGAGCCGCGTACAAAGCACCTGTATGCGCCTCTATCGGGTGCATAGCACCGAGTGTGAATGCACTTTTAGCGCGGCAATGCCGGGATCTAACATGAGCACGGCGACTCTGTGACCTTATTCTTTCTCGCAATGGCGAAGTGTCACACGCTTATCAACTAGCCGAGTTAGAGAGTACGACCGGTTGCCGACCGGAGAGAAAATCCTCTTTTTCTGTACTTTTCCGCGCGCGCGCGCTGCTCCAGTTCGACTTCGGGGCTGCGGCAAATGCCGCGTTGCAGATCAAACATTGCATAATTGAAATGGTGTCGGTTGGAAAAAGAGCACACAAACAGAAAAATCCGGCTTAGAGCACGAAAATAAAGTTTTCAATTCCCTTCACTTTATGATTTTCCGCTAATAAAATTACGGTTGTTTCGCAAAAAAAGTTTATAAGGTAAAACAAAATCGTTAAATCTTTTTCTGCGAGCTGAGTTTCCTTGTAAGACGAATAATAATGTCTTGATGTTGTCGTGATTTATTTGCAGCCACTTTTAATGTTCCTATAAACATTCTCGTATTAAAAAACCTTCCTTACGCATTCGTTAAAGCTACGTCAGGACATTTGGTTTTCACTGTGAATGTCCAAGAATATTTGCTGGACACATTTGTTATACGAGCGGCGATTCTCCTCGAAGCGGCGTTGTAATTTACATGGTCGCAAATCGCTTTTGCAATTTCGCTCGGACGTGTCCGATCGTTTCTTTTTTTTTTTTTTTTTTTTTT